TCCCTGCCAGCAGAATGACTGTCTTTTCTCTTATTCCTTTCCAGGCTGAACCCTCCACCTGGCTCCTACCCCACACAGAGTTGCCACCCTCATCTAACCCCAAGTCACCCTGTCACCCAGATGCAGCATGCCAATGGCCAGAAATTGGCCTCCTGGCCTCCGGGACACATGCCCAGCCTGCCTCCATACCAGCCTGCTTCTGGCCTGTGTTATGTGCAGAATCACTTTGGTCCTAACCCCAATGCTAACACTGTGTACCCAGCTTCTGCAAGGACCTCCCAGGGGGTGCAGGCTCCCTTCCCCATCAGCTGTCCTGGCACTGTATATTCTGGGGCGTTGGGCACCCCAGGGGCTACAGGCTCCAAGCAATCTTCCAAGGTTGCCATGCCCTAGCCAGTCCACAGAAAAGGCTCCTACATGTTAGGCAGAGAAAGGTCCTACCCAAGTGAGGAATTTCTTAAGAATTATTTATTGAAGCCAGGGCGTGCTGGCCTGTCATCCCAGCTGCTTGGAAGGTTGAGGCCTATAGATCCAAAGGTCAAGATCTGTCTGGGCTCCAGAGCAATTCCAAGGGCAGCCTAGGCTATGTATCACAAGACTCTATATTAAAATTAATAAAAAGAGGTGGGCCTGGGACACTGTGGTACAGTGTTTACCTAGCATAGTCCTTAGCTCCACAAGGGGGGGGGGGATTATTTATTAAATACCTCCGTGTGCCAGCTCTGTTGAGTACTTTGATAAATGTCCCTATATATCTGTGTCGTTTGCCCTCAAGGCAGCTCTATATAGTAAAGTTTACTGACCCAGCTTTCAGACATAGGAAATAAAACTGGGCATGGAAAGCCATGCCTATAATCAGCTGTGATCAGGGCAGGACCCGACGTTGAAGGTCGTCCCTAGCTACAAAGTGGGTCTGAAGCCAGCCACTGCCTACATGAGAAGTAAGACACCCTGGGGTCCCATGGAGTCTTGAGGCTCTACAGCCACTGCTGGAAAGTGCGGTTGTCATCGGCTGCCAGGGACTGTTGCCAGTCCTACCATCCCATCCTGCTTAGTGCCTGTGGGTCCTTGCTCGTGTCTGGTGTGCCTGTGTAGTGGACAGTCTGTGACATCGTCTTCCCTCTCCAGCCCTCCCTGTCCTGACTTCTGCCAGACAGTGGTGACCTGCAGCAGCATACTGTTGGTCCACCCTGTGAGTTAACCTTTGTATAAAAACCAGCCTCCAACCTGCCAATGGTGTGTGGCTTATTTATGGTCAGTCCAGTGTGGGGAGTGATTGGAACAACAGGAATGGGTATGGTGACAAAAAGGATCCCAGTGCTCAGGGATCAACGGTGAGGACCTGACTTGGGAAGTGGGTTGAAAAGATGAGATAGAAATGTGATCAACCCAGAACTGGGTACAAGGGGCTAGCCTGGGCAAGTTAGTGAGACTGTCTCAAAAAACCTGGGTTTTGTTTAATAAAAATAAACTGGGCCTGGTGGCACATGCCTTTAATCTTAGTACTTGGGAGGTGGAGACAGTGGATCTCTGAGTTTGAAGCCTGCCTGGTCTACAGACAGAGTTCCAGGACATCCAAGTCTACACAGTGAGACCTTGTCTCTAAAAATAAAGGAGTTGAATAAAGTAGTACCTGCCTTTGCCCACAACACTCGGGAGGCAGAGCACTCAGGTAGATCTTTAAGGTCAGCCTGGTCTACATGACCAGTTCTAGAGCTGGGGGTATGGCTTGTTGGTAGAGTGCATGCCTAGCCTACAAGTGGCCCTGGGTTCTGTCTCCAGCACTGGGGATGGAAAGCATGCTACTTGCACAGATATTTTAGAAGTAGCACATGCCGTTCACTTCTAGGAGCTGCTCTGGATTCCATCTGAGGGGCCCTAGGTATTCCAATACAGATGATTCCTGACCCCAAGCCTGCTCCTCCAGAGACGGTAGTCTGAAG